ATCTGGCTAATTTTTATATTTTTAGTGGAGACGGGGTTTCACCATGTTGGCCAGGATGGTCTCCATCTTCTGACCTTGTGATCCACCTGCCTCGGCCTCCCAAAGTGCTGGGATCATAGGCGTGAGTCATTGCGCCTGGCATGGCTACTAACCACCATGCTCAGCTAATTTTTTTTTTTTTTTGGTAGTGCCAGTGTTTCCCTATGTTGCCGAGGCTGGTCTCAAAACTCCTGGGCTGAAGCCATCCATCCGCCTCTGCCTCTCAAAGTGCTGGGACATAGGTGTGAGGGACTGCTCCTGGCTGATTCCATTTCTGATCTTTGCCCAATTCACTTTCAGAATTGGAAGATGCACAATGATGATTTAAAAAATTTATGCCTTATTTATTTATTAATTGGCATTCTTTTATGAAGATGAGTTTTTCCTTGTTTTCTCACCTCCCTATCCCCATCTCCTAAGCATTACTGTTGATGAATGGAATTTATTTTTATTCAGTATTTCTAACCCATTATTGTCATTTTCTTTCTGACGTTCTAGTTGTCTGGCTGATCTGGCTTCTGTGTCTTTTTGACATGGCTCAGACCTGTTTCTCCAAGAAGACCTAGTTCCCTTTACTAGGGAATCATAATTGTTGTTTGCTTATTTATTTATTTACTTTTTGGAGACAGAGTCTTCCTCTGTCACCCAGGCTGGAGTATAGTGGTTCAAGGCTGCATAGCCCATTGCAGCCTTGAACTCCTGGGGTCAAGCAATCCTCCCCGCTTCAGCCTACCGAGCAGCTGCTACTATAGGCACATGACACCACGCCTGGCTAATTTTTAAATTTTTCATAGAGACAGAGTTTTTCTGTATTGTCCAGGCTGGTCTTGAACTCCTGGGCTTAAGTGATCCTCTCACCTGGACCTCCCAAAGTGCTGGGATTACAGGTGTGAGCCATCACTCCTAGCCGGGAATGATTTTTAGAAGGTGAGATTTGGGTGCTACATGTGTTCACTACTACTGCGTTATCATTTCTTCTAGACATTTTCAGAACTAAGAAATAAATAAATATATGGATATGGTGGTATTTGTCCAGAAGCAGAAAGTCTGTATAGAATAATTTAAATAAATGGTTATTCTTCTTTCTTGTGCTAAAAACAAATGGTTTTATATAGTTTTCAGTATTTGATATGATATGGAAAATATTGCTTTATTTATTTTTATTTCCAAACTTTTCTTGGCTATTCATGACCATTTACTCTTGTTTTCTTTTTTTTTGAGACGGAGTCTCTGTTGCCCAGGCTGGAATGCGGTGGTGTGATCTTGGCTCACTGCAACCTCTGCCTCCCTGGTTCAAGCAATTATCCTGCCTCAGCCCACCGAGTAGCTGGGATTACAGGCACGTGCCACCATGCCCTGCTACTTTTTGCATTTTTAGTAGAGATGGGGTTTTGCCATGTTGGCCAGGCTGGTATTGAACTCCTGACTTCAGGTGATCCATCCACCTCGGCCTCCCAAAGTGCTGGGATTACAGGTGTGAGCCATCACACCAGGCCCATTTATTCTTTGACATGAATTTTATATTCAAGCTTCTTCCTCAGAAATCCTGGGGAAATTTGATTGGAATTGTGTTAAATTTAATAACTTGGAAATAATTGACATGTTTAAACATAGAATCTTTCCATCATAACATATCTTTTCATTAATAAAATATTGTTTATATCTTTTGGCAAAGGTTTGTGGTTTGAATCACATAGATCACTTTAAATTAAGATTATATGCCTAGATATATTTCATGGCTATTGCTAGTTTGAATGGACTCTTTTTACACTTTATTTTTCAGCTGGACTATTGTTGGTTTATTGAAAACTTATTTTTTTCAAATTTATCTTCTTGCTTTAACTGATAATTTGCAGCTTTATTTAATAGTTTGTCAAACTAGTTTCGGGTTTTCTAGGTATATGATCGTATTGTTTAAAAATAACTATTGTATTTCATTGGGCCAAAGATATAATTAATTGTGAAATTCACCATCATTCTATATACATTAAGAAAGTAAAAACACTGCTATTTATAATTGTAAGATACTACCAACTGTAAGGCATCCCAAATTTAGCAATGTGAAAATAATGTGAAAAAATTGTCTTAGATTCCGAATATGTTGTATTTTATGTCTTCTTTTCTACTGGTTTTACTTTCTTTTTTCTGTTGTATATTATGAATTGGTAAAAACTCACAGGGAAGCAGTCGGTAATAATGGTAAGGTATTCTTATTTTTGCGTAAGCCCTTAATAGGATTGAGTATTTAATTTTGTCTGATCTTTAAATTCTAAGAATTCGGGTTTCTATTGAAGAGAGACTGGAGATACATCTCTAGCGTTATCTTGATTTGTATGAGTAGAATTGGTGCCAAATATCAAGTGGAGCTTCCAGCATATATAAATCATAAAATTTAACAATGAGGCTAACAAAAGAAGTGTAAGACTTGTATGCTACAAACTGCCAGACACTGCTGAGAGAAATCAAAGAAGATTTAAATAATGTAAAGATATTCAGTGTTTATGGGTTAGAAGTTTCAATATTGTTAATGTGTTAGTTCTTCCGAAATTGATCTGTAGATTCAGTGCAATCCCTGTACATTTTTGCAGAAATTAACAAACTGATCCTACACTATATATGGAGATGCAGAGGGCCCAGAAAAGCCAAAACAATTTTGCCAAAGAAGAAAGTTGGAGGACTTAACGCTTCTTGATTTCACAGCTATTTCTTGATTTTAAGACAATGTGGTACTGACATAGGATAGATGTATAGATCAACATGATTAGTCGTTAGGGAAATGCAAATAAAAACTCCAGTGCGATACCACTTCACACCCACTAGAGGGCTATTATGAAAAAATCAGACAGCAAGGGTGTATATAAACTACATCCCACATGCATTCCTGAGAGTAATGTAAAATGGTGGGGACACTTTGGAAAACCATTTGGCAGTTTCTTTAAAAGCTAAACAGAGTTAACATATGACCACACAAAGATTTGTATTCATAATTGCCCCAAAGAGGAACTATCCAAATGTTTATCAGCTGATAAGTGGATAAATAAAATATGGCATATGCACATAACAGAATACTACTCAGCAATCAGAAAGGAACTATTAACACATTGCAACATGGATGAACCTCACAAACATGATTCTAAGTGGAGGAAGTTAGACACAAAAGACCACATATTGTATGATTCACTTTACATGAGATTTTCAGAAAAGGTAAAGGCAAATCTAGAGAAACAGAAAGATGAGTGTTTTCCTGGGGATGGGTTGAGCTGCAAATGGGTGTGAAGGAACTTTCTGGGGTGATGGAAAGGTTCTAAAGTTGGATTGTAGTAATGGTTGCACAACTCTGTGTGTATTTATTAAGTCATTACATTGCACACTTAACGTAGATGAATTTTATGATGTGTAAATTTTACCTCAATCAGGCTTTTTTATAAGGAAATGTAAATGAACATGTAAAACATAAACCAAACAGACACTGTGCTGAAACAAGGTATCAGGAGGAGCAGGACACTGTTTAAAAATTTAGTGATCAAGTTTGCCTCTATCCTGCAGTTTACAACTCCTGGATGAAAGAGCATGGAGGATCTATCGTCAATATCATTGTCCTTGCTAAAGCTGGATTTCCATTAGCTGCGTAAGCATTTTTATACTGTTTTCGTTCTACGTCTTTGAGTTTTGTCTTCTGAATGGGGGAAGCGGGATAGGGAACATTTCTTAAATCAAGATCATTAATACCTTTAATGAGTTGTGATCCTAATAGTTAGCATTTTCTTTTAATTGAACTTAAAATTGAAGTTAAATTTCAAAGTTTTATTTATTATTTATTGAACTTAAAATTCAAAGTACTTCTAAAACATTCCCGTTCAGATTCAGACTGCCAGATTCAGACTACCTAGTCATGTGTTCACCCATTAACCAAAAACTGTAGAAATGAGATTGCTCTGATATGCATGGTCAGCCTGAGGAATGAGGAACTGCGGTCATCACCACTTGGACATGCACTGAGAACAGGCAAGAGGTACTTCCTCAGGTGGAAATCAATGTGATGTTACTAAAAACAGAGTAAAAAATGGTGTGCAGGCCATTGATACCACTATACCTTCTTTTCCTGCTCATTATTCTTTACTAAACATATTTACCTATTTTAGCATCTTGGAAGAAATAATTCAGATTGTAGGTTCTTTCTGGCATTTCCCATTCCTCACAGGCAATTACTGTTGATAGTTTTGGGGGCATGTCTTTTTCCTACATTTTAACAAAAAATTTAGAATACTTTAAACACTATTCTGTATCTTGATTTTTCTCAAATGAAGCAAATATCCTGGAGATATTTTCTTACCCAAATCTAAAGAGATTTCTTCTTTTTTTTATGGCTAATATGCCACTTTATAAACCATAAGTAAGGAATGATTTATGTAACCATTTCCAGTTGGTGAGCATTTGGGTTGTTATTACCAAAACCCAACTAAAAACCTGCAGTAAGTAACATTTTATATACATCAGATGGTGTGTGGCCTAAATTGCAAGAAGTATATTTGCTAAGTCCGAAGCCAAATGCCACTGTAATTTTAAGAGATATTGCCAAACTGACCTTTGGAAAAGTTGTAGTTCCTTTATGAGTGAAATTTATCCTCCTTCATGCATATGTAAGAAGTAATGAGAGTTTCTTTGCTTAAAATACATTTTTGAAATGAAATCAGTGGCTTTTCTGATATTCGGTTGGAGGAAAAAACACAACTTGTCTTTGCTATGGAAAAGACAGTCTTTGCTGTGGAAATATGTTTCAGATATTTCTTGCTTTTATTCTTTAAGAATCGTTTCCTTTTCCAATGGCTTTCACACTTTTGACCATGACTCATAGTAAGAAAAAAATTTTACATCTTGACCTAGAGAACACATACGTGTATGTGTGTCTATAGGCAAAACAAAATTCGTGAAGGAAACCTATTCTTACTATCTATGTGCCTCTGATTCTTTTTTTCTTTCTTTTCTTTTTTTTTGAGATGGAGTTTCGCTCTTGTTGCCCAGGCTGGAGTGCAATGGCACGATGTTGGCTCACTGCAACCTCTGCTTCCTGGGTTCAAGCGATTCTTATGCCTCAGCCTCCCAAGTAGCTGGGATTACAGGCACCCACCACCACGCCCAGTAATTTTTTGTATTTTTAGTAGAGACGGGATTTCACCATGTTGGTCAGGCTTGTCTCTAACTCCTGACCTCAGGTGATCCACCCACCTCAGCCTCCCAAAGTGCTGGGATTACAGACGTGATCCACTGCACCTGGCTGATATTTTCAATTTTATTGTGGTCTGCTCTGTTATATTTTCTTTTTTGCACTTGCTGCTTATTACTTGCTAATTTTATTTCACTATTATCATGGTGTTGTAATTTGAGATTCGGAAGACATAGGTTTCGGTATCCTCTACAATAGATGAGGAGGGTGAATGTCAGAGATTGAGCACTCCTTTGTTTTAAATTTGAGCTCTCTTAAGAGACAAATTGAAACTGTTGGCTGTCACTTGTTTACTTGACCGGTACAGGTACATGCACAAGGTACATCTGGAAATACTAAAATGAATCAGATGCCGTCCACGCTCTGAGGGAGTCACAATTAGTAGGGGAGCAAAGTATGACAATAATCAGCCAGAGAGAGAAGGTGTTGGATGTTCCAGCAAAGGTATTTGCAAGTGTGCAAGCAGGGGCACAGAGGAGGGCAGCATCCTGGCAACATGTCTCGAAGGTGAACTCGAGTTTGGTGACATAGGAGGAGGAGAAAGGAAGGCAAGTCAATGAGACATTTACTATGTAAAGACGCAGAAATTTGAGACATTATGGCGCTTTTGGGAACTACAAATAATTCATTGTGATGATGGGTGGTGTGGCCAAATGGAAATTACTAGCTGGGAACGGAGTGGGAGTCAGAAAAGGCCTTAACTACCAGGGAGAGGAGTTTGAACTGCATCAGGGCTTCCTACACTAGAGCCTGTGGCCCTGGGGCTCTGGGGCTGTGCATCCAGGAGGGCACCTAAAGCCGCAGGATTATCACAACTAAGGCATTTACTTGGAGGATCTTTTTACTGTTAATGGTTGAGAAGGAAAACATTTATATTCAAGTATGTATTACAAAGAAAAGCTCAAGAATGATGAGGATTTGGGAGTCATGGTTTGGGAGAGCATCATCTAGTTGTCCTTTATGGGGAATATTTATATACTAGGTTTAGCCTATTACAAGTTGTCTTTTCTTTTCTTTTTTGATACGGAGTTTCGCTCTTGTTGCTGAGGCTGGAAGTGCAATGGCACGGTCTTGGCTCACCACAACCTCAGCCTCCTGGGTTCAAGCGATTCTCCTGCCTCAGCTTCCCGAGTAGCTGGGATTACAGGCATGTGCCACCATGCCGGGCTAATTTTGTATTTTTAGGAGAGATGGGGTTTCTCTATGTTGGTCAGGGTGGTCTCGAACCACTGACCTCAGGTGATCTGACCACCTTAGCCGCCCAATGTGCTGAGATTACAGGCGTGAGCCACTGTGCCCGGCCTATAAGTTGTTTTTATATTAAGTATCTTTTTTCTTTTTTTTTTTTTTTAAGACAGAGTCTCGCCCTGTCACCGAGGCTGGAGTGCAGTGGCGCAATTTCTGCTCACTGCAGCCTCTTCCTCCCGGGTTCAAGCAATTCTCCTGCCTCATCCTCCCAAGTAGCTGGGATTACAGGTGCGTGCCACCATTCCCGGCTGATTTTTTGTATTTTTAGTAGAGACGGGGTTTCACCATGCTGGCCAGACTGGTCTCGAACTCCTGACCTCGTGGTCCGCCCACCTCAGCCTCCCAAAGTACTGGGATTACAGGTATGAGCCACCGCACCTGGCCTACATTAAGTATCTTTGAATAACCCCAAATTTATTTTTTAGCTAATGACCAACTTACAACATCCGTGACTGTAGAATTTGGAATATCTTGTGAAGTTCACCATAATGGAATTTGACATATTTGACTCTTATTTTGATTTTGATGAATTTTTCCATTGACAATAGATATTTATTTTTTCAGAAAAGAAGTCAGTGGGGCTGGGGGCAGTGGCTCACACCTGTAATCCCCGCACTTTGGGAGGCTGAGGTAGGCAGATCACCTGAGGTCAGGAGTTCAAGACCAGCCTGGCCAACATGGTGAAACCCCATCTCTACTAAAAATACAAAAATTAGCCAGGCATGGTGGTACACATCTATAATCTTAGCTACTTGGGGGGTTGACGTATGAGAATCACTTGAATCTGGGAGGTGGAGTTTGGGCTACAGAGTGAGACTGTGTCCCCGCCCCCTGAAAGAAAAAAGAACTTAGTGACCTTATTTAACCTACTATCTCAGTTATTTCTTTCTTTTCTTTTCTTTTCTTTTTTTTTTTTTTTTTGAGATGGAGTTTCACTCTTGTTGCCCAAGCTGAAGTGCAATGGCACGATCTCGGCTCACTGCAACCTCCACCTCCTGGGTTCAAGCGATTCTGCTACCTAAGCCTCCTGAGTTGCTGGTATTACAGGCACCTGCCACCACGCCCAGCTAATTTTTTGTATTTTTAGTAGAAATGGGGTTTCACCATGTTAACCAGGCTAGTCTCGAACTCCTGACCTCAGGATCTGCCCACCTCAACCTCCCAAAGTACTGGGATTATAGGCATGAGCCACCACACCTGGCCTATCTCAGTCATTTCTTTCAGAAGAATCTAAAGGCCATCCAAAGAGAACCAGGAGAAAAACAATATGCCAGGAAGTAACTTGAAAAACACAAGTTTAGCAGTTGACAAGTGTGGATTAAAAATACATATATATTTGCTGATTTCTTTAGTATCTTTTCAACATTCTGATTCCTTCCATTTTTTGGGGAAGCCAGAGATTGCATTTTTAAGAGGCAATAGAGAAGGTCTTTTTCTACAACCTTAGATAACACAGGCACTGAAAAAAAAAAATTACACAAATATAGGTTGAGCATCCTGATCTGAAAACTCAAAATCCAGAATGTTCCAAAATCTGAAAATTTCTGAGCACCAATAGGATGCTCAAAGGAAATGCTTTTTGGAGCATTTCAGATTTTGGATTTTCAGATTAGGGATGATAAACAAGGTAGTATATGCAAATCTTCCAAAATCTGAACGGATTTGAAATCCAAAACACTTCTGGTTCCAAGCGTTTTGAGTAAGGCATAGTCAGTTTGTAAAATGTTCAGTTGAGGCTTGGCACAGTGGATCATGCCTGTAATCCCACCACTTTGGGAGGCTGAGGCGGGCAGATCACCTAAGGCCAGGAGTTTGAGACCAGCCTGGCCAACATGCCGAAACCCCATCTCTACTAAAAATACAAAAATTAGCCAGGTGTGATGACGCACGCCTATAAACCCAGCTACTCGGGAGGCTAAGGCAGGAGAATCGCTTGAACCCGGGAAGCAGAGGTTGCAGTAAGCCGAGATCGTGCCACTGCACTCCAGCCTGCGTGACAGGGAGACTCTGTCTCAAAAACACAAAAAACAAAAACAGAACCTTCGTGAACTATGAGACAGTTGGAGTCTCTGAAAGAGAAATGAGAAACAGGGACAGAAAAAAAATTGAAGACACTGTGGGTGAAAATTTTCCAAATTTGATAAAAACTATAAACCTATAGATCCAAGAAGCTCAATAAATCCCAGTACAAATAACATGAAGAAAAGTGTACAAGGCACATGATAACCATATTGCTGAGAACCAGTGCTGAAGAGAAAATCTTTTTTTTTTTTTTTTTTTTTGAAGAGAAAATCTTAAAAGCAGCTGGAGGAAAAAGACACATTGTAGACAGAACAGATTTCTCATCAGCACCAATGCAAGTTAGAAGTCAGTGGTGTAACATCGTTAAAGTGCCAACAGAAAAAAGCATGCAAACCTGGAATTCTGCATCCATTGAAATATCTTTCAAAACCAAAGATAAATTAAAGACTTTTTCAAACATATAAAATCTGCAAGAATTATCACTAGCAGACCTATGCTAAAATAAATGTTAAAGGAAGTCCAACAAGATTTACTAAATAATGTGTTTTTTACCATCTGATTTCAAATGCCTTTGATTGGAAGAATTTTCCTAATTAGTTGTATAAGTTAATTTTCTTACATTAAATTATCCTATATTTGGTTTTGAGGATCTTGTAATTAGAAATTCTAAGCCATAGTGTCTATCTACGCAAGACCCCATACTTCATTTATTTTTGAGATGGAGTCTCATTCTGTTGCCCAGGCTGGAGTGCAGTGGTGTAATAACAGCTCATTACAACCTCCGCCTCCCAGGTTCAAGTAATTCTCCTGCCTCAGCCTCCTGAGTAGCTGAGATTACAGATGCCTGCTACGATGCCTGGCTAATTTTTGTATTTTTAGTAGAGATGGGGTTTCACCATGTTGGCCGGGCTGGTCTTGAACTCCTGACCTCAGGTGATCTGCCCGCCTCGGCCTCCCAAAGTGCTGGGATTATAGGTGTGAGCCACTGCACCTCGCCACCTTTGTTATTTAAAATTGATTTTAAAAACAACCACATGCTTGAAATCCTTAAAATTACCGATATGTTTTCCTTTATAATCAAAGTTCTTGAAAGTATTCCTCTTGCATAGTGATTTGAGGAGCCTTATCTGGGTCTATGCCATGTGAGAGTTGCTTGATCATCAGCTGTGGCTTGGATTTAATACCGAAGGACATAGTTTTTTCTTTGTTGTTTAGACAGAAGCTCAACAAGACAGACTCCATAGCAAGAAGTCTCTGGTGGAATTGTCAGGTAGTTGGCATACCTGCCAGCTTGGTGAACAAGAGAAATATTCAACAGAAGCTGATTGTCATGTTTATGTTTTGTCTTTCAAAGGCATTCTGGAGCTGCAAGAGCAGGTGTTTACAACCTCACCAAATCTTTAGCTTTGGAATGGGCCTGCAGTGGAGTAAGGATCAATTGTGTTGCGCCTGTAGGTAAACGATCTATATTGAAATTTATTGACAAATTATGCTTCTCTGATTCCATTTGTGGTGTTGATAGAGGTATTTGGTAATATGCAAGTGTAGCATAAAAGATTGACTTTAAAACATAGATAAAATGAGAAAGTCTAATTTTCTTTTTTTTTGAGATGAAGTCTCACTCTGTTGCCCAGGCTGGAGTGCAGTGGCGTGATCGTGGCTCACTATAACCTCCACCTCCGGGGCTCAAGTGATTCTCGTGCCTCAGCCTCCTGAAGAGCTGGGACTACAGGCACACGCCACTACCCCGGGCTAAGTTTTGTATTTTAGTAGAGATGGGTTTTCACCATGTTGCCCAGGGTGGTCTCGAACTCCTGAGCTCAGGAGATCTGCCACCTTGACCTCTCAAAGTGCTGGGATTAGAGGCATGAGCCACTGCACCCAGCCCAGAAAGTCTAATTATCATTATAGAAGTACTCTTTGATTTACAGCCAGATTGTCAAGAATGTTAAACAAGTGATTCTCGATTCTGAGTATTTTTTTTTTTTTTTAGAAGGAGTCTTGCTCCATTGCCCAGGCTGGAGTGCAGTGGCATGATCTTGGCTCACTGCAACCTCTGCCTCCCGGGGTTCAAGTGATTCTCCTGCGTCAGCCTCCCAAGTAGGTGGGACTACAGGCACTTGCCACCACCCCCGGCTAATTTTTGTATTTTTACTAGAGACAGGGTTTCACCGTGTTAGCCAGGATGGTCTCAATCTCCTGACTTCGGGATCCACCCACCTTGGCTTCCCAAAGTGCTGGGATTACAGGTGTGAGCCACCACACCCGGCCTATCTGTAGATCTTATCTCTGTGATGTCAATAGGTGTTATATGTGCCACTCAGTGAAGGCTAAGCATGCCTGACTTCAAGCATGAAGTTAGTAAACTCATCTCTGACAAAGGCACTCCTACTAATTCTAATTCATGTTTGCCTTCCAGAGACTTTTTTGGTTTAATGACCAAATTTTCATACTTCTAGATTTTATCCTCTTTAAATAAAAGGCAACATATTGTGTAATTGGAAGCCACTATATCTCTCCAGTATCATTTGAAGTAATTAAAACTGCCAAATTTTCTAATTTTATTTTAACTTTGCTTTCCTCCCCTCCTCTCCATAATTTAACAGTTTGAATCCATTACAAATGGCTGTATCCTGTGACATACTATATCCTGTGATATACTATATCCTGTGACATAGTTTTTTTTTTTCTTTTTTTATGTTTGGGACAAGGTCTCGCTCTGTTGCCCAGGGCGAAGTGCGGTAGTGCGATCACGGCTCACTGCAGCCTCGACCTCCTGGGCTCAAGTGATCCAACTCAGCCTCCTGAGTAGCTGGGACCACAGGCGTGTACCACCATGCCCAGCTAATTCTTTTTTATATTTTTTGTAAAGACACAGTCTCCCTTTTTTCCCAGGCTGGTCTCAAACTCCTAGGTTCAAGTGATCCTCCAGCTTCGCCCTTGCAAAGTTCTGAGATTACAGGCATGAGCCACTGCACCTGGCCTGGGATACAGTTTTTGAGTAATTTTCCTGAATTTAGAAAGTTAGCGAAAGATACATTTAAAAATTTCGAAACAATTAAAATTTTAGTTTATTGGTATTGGATTCAAATGCTTTATTTGCGATTTCAATCTAGGTAAAAAGCCAAGAAAATATTGCATTTTTCCAAGTCTCACGTAGCCATTGCCCAGTCTTCTCTTGTAAAGCAGAGAAGCCAAATGGAAACTAAAATAGACAGAGTCGCCTGTCCCATTGTTCCAAGTTAAGTGCCTCTTTCATTTACTTACATAATCATGACCTTCAGAAAGCAAGTCTTTCATGAAAAAATCCAGGACATGCTTAGGAGGAAGAGGAGGTCACAAAATAACCATTGAGATCATCCATTTGAGGATGATGGGGACTGTACTCCTTTGACAACATGGAGGAAAATTAATATCAGCACTGTTCACTTTTTTTTGACTTAAGCTACTTAATGTTTGAAATGCCAGTAGACTATCTTGATATCTTTATAATTAAAATGTAATGCACTTTATTTTGTCCCTGTTTTATTTTTAAACACAGGGAATTATTTATTCCCAGACTGCTGCGGAGAACTATGGTTCTTTCGGACAAAGCCTCTTTGAAAGTTCTTTTCAGAAAATCCCCGCTAAACGAATTGGTGTTCCTGAGGAGGTAAGGCATATTTCCAGCATTGATTAGAATTGCTGTGTGTTGTACTTTGGAATTTGTAATTCAGTGTCATTTTTATGTGGTCTGGACGACATTATTTCTCCCACTGCCACCAGATCATTTCCCCTGTTCTTTCTGGCTCTCAGATATACTCTGGTTGTGCTTTGACTACTGACAGCAATCTGTACTTGAGAGTGAATGCGGTATAAATTAATAACAGCGTTTTTTTCCAGTTTGTTTTATTGTATTTTCATCACATTATTTTATTACCTGGCATTTGTTGGTACACAGGACCCTAGGACTCTAAGCAAGTCAGACAATTATGGCCATAGGAAGTTCCACATGAGATTTTGGTAAGATTGAAGTCTGTAAAATCAGCGGCTTTCCAAAATGCCAACAGCAGCAGTCTTTGTGGTTTTTTTTTTTTGGCTTGAGACAGGGTCTCACTCTGTTACAGGCTAAGTACAGTGTCATGATCATAGATCACTGCAGCCTTGAACTCCTGCCTTGGCCTCCCAAAGTGCTGGGATGATGATGATGACGATGATGACGATGATGATTTTTTCGACAGAGTTTCTTTGTCTCCCAGGCTAGAGTGCAGTGGCGTGATCTTGGCCCACTGCAACCTCCACCTCCTGGGTCAAGCGATTCTCCTGCCCCAGCCTCCCGAGTAGCTGGAATTATAGGTGTATGCCACCACACCCGGCTGATTTGTGTGTTTTTAGTAGAGGCAGGGTTTCACCATGTTGGTCAGGCTGGTCTTGAACTCCTGACCTTAAGTGATATGCCCACCTCAGCCTCCCAAAGTACTGGGATTACAGGTGTGAGCCACAGCACCTAGCTTTGCATCGGTCTTGAAATGTAATTTTTTTTTTTTTTTTTTTTTTTAGGAAAAGGATGTCTTTCCCACAACAATAAAAATGAAAATACCTAGTAGTAAACTTACCTCTAAATGAAAAACAAAACAAAAAATCACCTGCCTCCTTAGGGCAGTAGGTGGTACATCAGTTTCATAAATGAAAAAATAAAACAAAACACAAAAAGTCCCTTTTCCTGAGGAGCAGCAAAAAGACCGGGATAACTAGGGGCATATAATATTCCTTGATGGGGAGAACCAATTTTATTAAAAAGTCAGGTTTCCCTAAATTAATTTATAAATTTAATATCTTTTGGGAATTTAACATGCTGA